TCTCTCCCCACTTTTGTCCGCACCCCCTACATAAAATGACTTCCCAGTTCCCGCGGCTATGCTCGTGCATGACAAGTCTGGATCTCTGGATCTGCTATACGGTTACGGCCCTGAGTCCCCACGAGTCTGCAGGAAGTGAAGGAAGTTCCCTTGATTCAGTGAGTCAGGATTTGCGAATCTGAGTCTGCTGTTGACTCGTGCATGAGGAGTCTGCCTGGATCTCTGGATCTCTGGATCTCTGGATCTGCTACGGTTACGGCTCTGAGTCCGCACGAGTCTGCAGGAAGTTTCACTGATCCGCGTCCCCTCCCCTGAGCCAAATGATAACTTCTGGCAGCTATCCTACTTGCTAAAGGCAGATGGACTGGGGTACGTTGTAATGTGATTTTACATGTTATAAGGAGAGTAGCGAGTGACACAATTTATAGTTTTAATTTGTACGTCACCAGGTGTAGGACTCAAAGGACTCGGGTTAATCGAGAGGGGAGACTCGTCACGACCAGCTCATTACTAGGATCCGGGTTAATGATCCGGATCAGAGCTGTATAATAGAAGAGTTACGACATCTCCGTTCACTCCAATGGACCAGTTTTTTTACAGCAATGGTGGATCGTGGAGTCGTCAATAGTTCCCCGGAAGTTAGCTTGCCGCTATTGACTATTGACTCGAGAGGCTCCACGATCTGTGGCTGGCAGCGCAGTAGAGTTGCAGCGTTCGTGATGGACTTTTAAAGGTAAGAAGACGTTTAAAGATTTATATTGCGGATATTATCAGCACATCTGAGTCAAATGAACATGTGTATTAAAGGATGTTAGTGGATTATCCCTAAATCAGTAGATTTAGGGAACGTTTACAGATAACAGATTAGGCTAGGATACCGGATAAAGTTAGCAACACACGTTAACCATGAACAGCTATTAATCCGTTCTCCTAATGTTATTTCATCCAACGTTGTGGAATTAGAGAAAAAGGGCTTCTAAACGTGATTTTTTTGTGGGGTGGAGGAATATAATATTAGTTAAATATAACATTGGGGCACGTGTGATTGTAATGAGTGGAAGTGGAGAAATTACGATCTCCATTTTGGAGTAGACCTACAAGCTAGTATAATAAAGTTAACGTTACACAATAATAAGGAAGAGAGCTATTTGATATTAATTTAGAGTGCATATTTGAGACTTCCAAACAGTAAACAAAAACGTAATTTATGGGTGAGTGTTTTTAGTGTATTCTGTTGATTATTACCTGTCTGTATTATGTTGCAGCTCAGCTGATTTTGAAATGATGGCAAAGTGAGAGTGAAAACACAAGGTACATTTAATACTACTGTTGTATATAAGTAAGCATACTAAACATGTATTCTATCACTGTATTATATAAGTAATCTTGTTAGTGTATATTAGTAACCTACTGTATGGCAGGTGGAGGGGCAGTGATGTTACAGGTGGAGGACTTACTGGACATGTATACACTCATTACATACTGTACGTAAAATACGACCAAGAATGTGAGACAACTTTATACAAATTCATATCACATCCATTACTGATGCCATTTGTCATACTTTGTTAAACTCACAAATAATAAAGTTCCATAACTTCAGTTGGAAACAAAGACCACACCTAATCTCCCCAAGGCAATTTCCCATCCAATAGATGTGCTATATAGGTGTGTATAACCCTTTCTCCTGTCTGTTTCTCCCTCTTTCAGCACAAGAACCAGAGGGGGATTCAATAGAGCCTGAATACCTGCACTGAGACCCTCACCCTGCACCCTGAGTCTCAACTCTCAGAGTTCTTCAAGCCTTTCCCTTTTATTTGTATTAAACCAAACATTAAGCTTCCCAATGGTGTGGTCTTCGTTTTGTGAAAAAGTGCAAATGCAGTGTTTGAATATGATTACCTCACATATTTTGTTGCGGCTGTCTGTTTTGATTGTTAAATTGTTCCTGCTGACTTGAGCTAGCCATTTTTCCCTCCTCTCTGTGTCATTGGGGAAGCCGTACATTCTGATTCTTACTCCTTTCTCTGAGCGATTGGAGCATCCCCAGGCAGCACAGCAAACCATGGTGGAGACTATATGCCAGGACAACACGGAGGAAAAGGCACAGACAAACTGCATGACATGCTATTCAATGTTTATTGAATTCCATGTATTTACAATGGATGTTCCTAAAACAACACTTTTAACGTCATAATCATGTTGCTGCTAGTCCATTAATAGTCACCTGTTGGTCTCCTGTCCTTTCTGAAAGTCATAAAGAGTACATTAGTCATTTAGATTACTTATGTCCTCAAGTACCATGGGATTACTGAAACCACCATGAATTAAAAAAATGGTAGAAATGAATCTAATCTAAATTTTGAAGCATTCCTTACCATCCCCTCCCTCTAAATATATCAATAAACATTAGGAAGTGATGCTCCTGACTACCATACCTGTTTAAGAAGATAATATTTGTTTTAAATAATTCAAAGCAATACACAACAGCAACAGGCTCTGTAACCAAGGCAACAGCCTAACATGTATATGTTAACAAGTAAACTAACTGTTCACACTATTCCTAATATTATCCATAAATATTAGCAGATTCTATTTTATTTTTAAAACATATTGATGTAAATACATGCACATATCGGTATGTTGTATAAATATTGCAAATCAAGACCTTTATTCACTACTTATTACCAAAAATCGTAGTTCTATCTCCGGTAATCATGCATTCATATGTCCCGCCACGAACTTCCGGGGAACTATTGACTCTCCCTGAACCACGTGACGATCAAGCATTTTGGACTTCCGCTGTCGTAACTCTCTCTCTATATGGCGCTGATCCGGATGAATCAGGACTCACCCATCTCTACTCGTCACTGCATACACCATATACTGCATGTCTGTATGGGGGATCTCTAAGATGTTCTTCTAATGCAGAGCAAGGTGAAGGAAAGAGGATATTGTATGCTATACAGATTGTAAAGAGCCAAATGTGTAATTTGTAATATTGGTTTTTATAGATAAAATCATATAGGAAAAAACACTGTTTTTTAAAGAAGTTCCAGGAGCTCAAGGAGCACACACACAATATCAGGTTATGGATCTGCAGCTGAGGTTATCCAGCCCTGATGAAACTCAACTCTTCTCTCCAGAGAGTGGTAGAGCATTGTTTACTTGTCTCTAAACACTTTGAAAATATATTTAGCATTTCATTGCAGTAGTACTTTTGCAGGTTGTATTCAATAGAGAGGCGAAGTCCCGCCCATCTACTTCCGACCCATGGGACCTTATTTCGGAAAAATTATGTATTGAAGTCAATGGGGAGAGAAAACGTATCTTTCGATCGCGTTTGAATTGTGCCATGAATTACACATATGTTTGTCAATCTTAAAAAATCATTTCCATGTCAAAAAAGTCACAGTTTGTCGTAAAACTGTTGAAATATAAGACTATGAAAAATACGCAACTAGAAAGACTACAAATCCCAGAGTCGCGTAAGTGATGTCACTCATAACTGATGTCACAATTGTTTTCCTCCACTAAAATAGAGATAGCTAAGATAAGATAACTTTAACAAGATGCCTGTGTGCTTAGTACCAGGTTGTTATCATACCAGCAATGGGTCTTGCTCGTTCTTTCGCTTCCTGTCTGATGAAAGGACCAGGAGTGGCTGGATCAAGTTAGCTACCTAGCTAGTAGCGAGCACGTTAGTTAGCATTACAGCCGGCTTAGCCTTGTCATTTTTATTAGCCTTAACATGAAGTAACATTAAGTAACCCAAAATGTTAAACAGTAAGAGTAGTAGTCATATTTCGTGAACCCTTTGAAGAGTACTGTCACACCGGTGTGATCATTCTATAATACACCATTTAAGCCCGGGGGAGAAATGCTAACGCTAACGCTACATTAGCATCGGCGATCTTTTCTACTTCATGCTATCTGCACAAATGGTTGACATTAAACATTAAAAAGATCAGGCAGTTCAGAGAGAATCAAAGGAAGGCAGGCAGGCAGGCAGCTTTGCATGACATTCTTCTGGACGTGTTTCATTGTGGTGATAGTGAGGGTAGTCAATCACTTTTTTGACAAGACAGTAGTGACGGCCATCTTGGTGACGTGTGTTGTTGTGCAAGAGATGTAGTTCATTGAGCGTTTCACACAAAAAAATGTGTTACTTCACAGTTTTACGACACTTTTTTTTTTTTTGACTTGCAAAATTATCTTTTAAATTGACAAACATCATATGTGTAATTCGTGGCACAATTCAAACAGGATCGAAAGATAATCTTTCTCTCTCCATTGACTTCAATACATATTTTTTCCGAAATAAGGTCCCATGGAGGTCCACCGGAAGGGGAGGGACTTTGCCTCGGCGAAGTCCCTCCCCTTCCGGTTGAGCTCCATGGGACCATATGATGTTTGACAATTTAAAAGATAATTTTGCAAGTAAAAAGAAAACACATTTTTTGTGTGAAACCGCTCAATGAACTACATCTCCCGTCTCGCACCACACACCAAGACGGCCGTCACATTGGCACATTTCACTTCTTTCTTTCAGAATGAGGCGAAAAGTATTAAAAGAGGTGAAAATCACTACAAGTCTGGGCATGTTGAGAGCTGTACATACACAAAAGGGGAGTTAGTCGGTTCCGTAAGAGCCAGCATGCGGGACCGGGATTCTGGGATTTGTAGACTTTCTAGTTGCGTATTTTTGATAGTCTTATATTTCAACAGTTTTACGACAAACTGTGACTTTTTTGACATGGAAATTATTATTTAAGATTGACAAACATCATATGTGTAATTCGTGGCACAATTCAAACGGGATAGAAAGATAATCTTTCTCTCCCCATTGACTTCAATGCATAATTTTTCCGAAATAAGGTCCCATGGGGCGGAAGTAGAAGGGCGGGACTTCGCCTCTCTATATAAATAAATCATTCATCAAAAAAAGATCCTTCCTCATCATCAGCTGCCACCTGATTGGGTGGTTCTCTGACAGAGCGTGACGTAGCAGCTGCCAGCGTGGAACGCACGTCGCTCTCCAATCAGGAAGTAAACTGTCCGGTCCGGGTCTGCGTAATACAGACAGAAGTCCGAGCGGTGAATACGTGTCGAAGTCTCCATTTCAGCCCGCTTTCCCGAACACCTCCGAAGGGACACAGCTGTAGGCCCCTGCCGCTGAGTGTCCGTCCCTCCCGCCCCCCAGCAGAGGCTGCCGGGCTCCGCACTGAAGGTAAGGAGTCAGGTGCTAACTAGCCTCTGTGTCCGCCCTGTGCCGGGCTGAGCGCTCTCCGGTGCCCGCTGTCCGGTGCCCGCTGTCCTGTGCCCGCTGTCCTCTTGAGCTGTACCGGCAGCTTTCTGGAGGAAGCTGCATGAAACTATAGACTATATTTATAAATGAATGCTGTAATATTCTCAGTGTAACATGGAGATGCTCTCACTGTGTCCCCTGCTGACCTGCTTCTGTCGGGAGGGAGGGGGGAGGTGCGCAAGCGCTTCCTCTGGTCCTGCTGTCAACATGCCCTTACATGTTACATTAAAATAAGAAATATACCGTATAACTTATTTTTGACTTACTGCTTGCATTACTATAGTAACAATCACAATGATTATAACACTGATAATAATATACTGCCAGCCTTTACAAATGAATCTTGTGTATCACTTTAAAAAGTAAAGCTTATTAGAATGTTAACAGGCCTATACACATAGGCCTATAACATTAAACTGTAATAGTTTACGCCTAATAAGTGTGCATTTACCTGCTCATTGGTCACTTCTGTGCTTCTTGTACTATTTTTATTGTTTTATATCTTATATATTATGTTGTATTGTTGGAGGAGCCTGAGACTTCAGATTTGCATTGCCAATTCTACACTATAGCTACTGTATCTTTGAAAAAGGAATATGCTTTGGTGTATAATGGTGCATAAACACACTAAGAGGAGTTAAGTTGTAAAGAAGAAAATGTCATTATTTTACAATTATTAAAAAAACTATTTCAAAAAAATACAAATAAACTTAAATGTTTAACAAAAATATAAACATACAAAAAATTAAGCACAATAAGAATATGACAAATTACTCTGAAAATAAAAAAAATAGATTACAGTATATCAGATTTTGTGGTGCAGTCCACTTCAAAATGTCTACATCTTTGACAAACGATTCACTATAATCTATTCAGTTATATTTTTATACAGAAATTGCAAGTAATGAAACTGTAATAAAATATTTTAAACTACAATAAAAGGTGAAATATACACAATGGAGTATCACAAACTGCAAAAAATGTAAACAAACATCAGAATATGTTATGTATTACAATATTTTAGTTTCTGTACCCACAGTCATTGTATTATTCTGGCAGCGTATGACAACAGATCTCTCTTTGAAGTGCCATCGCTCTCATCATAGAGTTATGCTTATTACTCCCATATTTTAATTCTAGAACCTGTGTCGCTGGTTTCCGAGCAGCTGTTGTCTAAAGTAAACAGTGATTGGCAAATGAAGTGTCCACACCCATATAATGCTCCACGGTCCCCTTTCACTCATACCTGACATTACAGCCATCAAGTGTGAAGACTCCATCAGTTTTTATCAGGATGGAAAAGAGTAGTTGAGTTTAGTATTTGGGAATTTTATTATAAATATCATTTGCATTCCCAACCAGAAGATGCTCCTTCTAACGAGTTAAGTTAGATCCTTTAGAACTGTAAACTGAAAATAAGACTGATGCTCAGACCAGCAATGCTAACACTGTGGTTTATGGTTCCAGGCCCCCCCCCCCCCCCCCCCCCCCCCTTCTCCTGCTACCTGACAAAGTGTGTCTTTATTCTTCAGTAACTGTTCCCATTTATCCAGTTACAGGCTGTCAACACCAGATGGCGCTTCCTTCACAGAATCACCTAACCAATGTGTGATATGATTCTTTGGCCAACCGAATACTAAATTAATAAATGATAATAATATAAATAATAATAATGCATTTTATTTATAGAGCCCTTTACAAAGGTGCTCAAAGACCAAGATAGATATTAAAATTAATCAATAAATTATAAAAACAACACTTAAATGATAAAATACATAACATTATTTACACATTAAAAGCTAGGGTAGGTATCCCCACTAAGTTGGTGTCACAACTTGGGCTTTGTGACAGTTGCTCCCTTTCAAAATACAGTAAAATTAAAGAGAAATACAATAAAAACATTTTTTTATATGGAATCAAATATTATTTAAACATAAGAAGTCAAATTTAAAATGTCCAACTAAATATAAAATAGAGTAAACTTATTGATATAAAGCTTAGAATTTAGAGTAAAAATGTGCACATTGTACTACAATATTACAATATACTGTGCAGTGTTTCCCACAGAATTTGATTCTATTTGTGGGGGCACCACACCGCACCCCCCCGGCAAGAAAAGCCAAAGGCCCCTTAACCTATTCGGGTGGCCCACGCATCCACCCCCCTCTCAAATAAGAAAATACATGCGAGTTCATGGCTACTGTAGACAACGTTCTTGTTGCTCTGTGTTGCGTTGTTAATGAGTGAGACACACCGGAGTTGAGGATCTGTGGGGTTTATTCTCCCAGAAATATAATATATAATTTACAATTTACAATTTAGGCATTTAGCAGATGCCTTATTCCAAAGAGACTTACAATGACCAATTACAGGGACATTCTCCCTGGAGTAACTGAGGGTGCCTTACTCAAGGGCACACTAGTAGTGGTGTTCCACACTCTAAAAATAAATACGCCGGCTCTACTTAAATAAATTGAGGTAACAATTTGCGTTGATCTTTTTAAGTATTTCCAATTTAATCGATTATTAAATTAATCCGAGTACCCATTTATAATCTGATTAACTCAATTAGTTCAGTACTACAAACATAATTTGCTTTCACCTTTAACCTGTTACGCACGGCCCCCCCGGTACCGGGCGGATAAACGAGTCATTTGCAGGAAACAACGTCTAAGGAATCTTAATATTTAATAAACTATGAATGTTTTATATCCATGTAACGGGAAGAAACTCAGCTAACTGATCTTTTTAAAAAAAAATGTTTTAAAAAAAAACCCCACAATGCTAACACTCAGCCTCTGAATTAGCCACGAGCGAAAAATGTAACCTAAAACGGCACCTAAACTCACAATAACTCCCTTATTACTTATCCTAGATGCACAGCCAACCACTCGTTTTGCATCAGCTGGAGACACAGAATCGTTTGGTGCCCACCTCAACACTCAGTGATAAACATTTGCGACGCTATAAACGAAAGCGTACATCATAACATGTGGAGCTAGGTAGCTAGAAACGCTAACATGGCTTACCTTGGTCAAAACTGGTCTTCAATGGCATTAAAACGATAAAAAAACGATGCTGCAGTTAATCCATAGGTTAATCCAATGTGTCTGTGTCCTCTTTGAAATTATTTCTGATAATCCATAAGCAATAAAACTGCTTTTTCGTTTCCAAATGCCAGAGCTAGAGATAGGTCCACTCTGCTGCAAATTTACATGCGCGCAGCCCCCACCTTTTCTCTTCACAACGTGTGTGTGTGTGTGGGGGGCCTCCCCCTTCGATTCTATTGGCTCTAACGGTCAGAAAGAGGTGTCAACCATCAAAATCGACCAAGGGGGGCCAGAGATATGGAAAAAAAAAACATTTTCACCCAATCACCTCAGAGGTGGGGTGGTTTTGGCTAAACCTCTCTAAAAAGGTCAAATGTCACTTGTTTTGCATCAATCTTGATACAGGGTACTTATTATATGTTGCACTTTGGATTCCTAAAGCTTTTAGTCTGCTAACCCATCATCCAAGGGTAGTTTTCACTATAAGTAAAAAATAATTTTTGGACGGACACTATAATTTACAGTTTTTTACTATGTAAAATCTGAATTTTCTTTAAAATAAAAAACATCTATATTTATTCTGACACTTCTACATCCAACTCACAGATGTAACCTTGCTTTGATAAAAGAAATTATTCATATAACCCTTTTAGAAGTTAAGTTGTAGTCATTTGTTTTGGGCATGTCATTTTCGACATATCGAGCTGAAAAACAGGCTTGGTGCTTAACAGGTTAAAAACTAAATGAAGTTGAACCAACTTAATTTTAATCGTAAAGATGGAGTGATATTAAGTTGCATTTTGTTTAATTTAAGCTATTGTAATTATTTATTTAAGTCCATACTACTCAAAAATGTCCATGCAAATTGTTACCTTCATTAGTTTGAGTATTAGAAACTCATTTCTTTGAGTCAAAAACAATATACACATTTAAGTTCCACTTGTTAACAGTTTATTTTTAAAATGTTCGTTACACAATGACCTTTTTATAACAAATGTTCTCAAATATGAAATAAAAGTAAATACAAAAATTAAAATAAAGGCATGAACTTGCTTCCAACGTTTTTAACATCTCTTTTAGGTAGTTCAGGTTGAGTGAGTATATTAGCCCCACAGGCACAGGCTCTTGGGGCATCCGAGATTTGAAGGACTTCTGTTCCTTCAATCACTATTGCATCCGCACCCCTGGTCAAGACAATCTTCAGCACCTCATTGCCAACTTCCACTTCACCATCCTGGAATAAGTAGATTAGAAAATACATTTCAGTGTTTTTGGTGCAATCAGATTTGAAAACATTGCATTGTGTTTCAGGTTAACACAAGTTACAGTATGATTTAAGCATCTTCTTTACTTACTTAAGTTTTCCTTGAAGAGATCCTCCTTTTCACGAAGACACACCACCAAGCACCGGATAGCAACCTCTCTTATTCTTTCCACCGAATCATCCTTAAAAGGAGAACATTTTAATTTTGAGAAAGAAAAACAAAGGCTTGTTTGCAAAAAATGAACATGCCGAGCATTGTCAGTTGCTGTTCATATTTATTTTAAATTAGTTTTTATCAAATATAACGTTAATTCTAACAAGAAAAAATATATATACTGTATACATACTGTATTACAAATAATGAACTTTGACTGCAAATGTGAAACAAAGGATACAGGAGGATACAAACAGCTAGCTAATCAGTATGCATGGTACAGTAGCTTAAAACAAGTAGCTGATGATACCTTACAGCTTGTGTTACACTCTATATGCAGTAAGCAGCTGTTGTAAATTAAGCTGAACAAAAATGGCTACTTACCAGTTAACTTGATAGATTATTAGGTTAAAATCCTGTTGTTCCACTGCTATCAAGTGTTCCGCTTCCAGGA